GATAGATAGATAGATAGATAGATAGATAGATAGATAGATAGATAGATAGATAGATAGATAGATAGATAGATAGATAGATAGATAGGTTGGAAGGTCTTTGTATTTAAATGTGAATAAATCTCAGTATTGTCTCCGTTCAATATCCGTGTGGGCTTCTGGCTTCGCACTGTGTTAAACAAGATTATGGGATGGACGGGATGGACGGGATGGGATGAGGAGCTTTCCCAGCCCAACCGCGACGAGAGCATAACGCCTATTTGTCGGCTCGGATGCAGCAGCATCCTCTCAAACGCACTGCTTCAGTGCAGTCAGATCTGTCTCAACCCGTAAAGGATGCCGTACCCTGCCGGAGCATTCATGCAGCCCAACAAGAAGCCGTGCGACATTTCCACAGAAATAAGTATGAAGATGCACTGAACCACACTGTGATTTACACTGCATGGAACCAGCACTAGAAAGAAAGAGGGAGTCAAACTAAAAACTCTCTCATCCGACTGCTTCGTTTTCAACTTGATACCGAGGCATGGGAGTCGTCGGCTTGGATGCAGCTCCACACCGGCTTCAGAAGTTGGACAGGCAGAGATTTAATTGCCATGACTCTTGAATACGGACAGGACTTCCAACGCAGTGCAGACGGCGTGCAGTATTTTAGAGTCCTTAAGGTGGACTTCTCATTTTGTCTGGGTGTCTTTGGAGAGTATTATCTGATCAACGTGTTGCATTTAAAATATAGGCATCTTTAATCTGTCTGAGGCATGGAGGAACATTGATCTCCGAAGTGTCCACGGGTGCTCCTTATTATTCACAGTAACGGAATGAAGACACTATCTTGATATGATGGATGATAGATCCAGTAAGCTCATTTTAGTTCCTATTTTAGCTGTCCTTTTTGTTATGATAGGTTATCAGTACATATGTCCCGCTGGCAGTAATTCATGCCACTTTAAGACTGAGGAGAAATTTAGAGGGGTGAGTCTACTTTCAACCCCTTATCAGGACAGCGATGATTTCTACAGAGATCAAGACCTGGAGGATGACAGCCCTCCGAAACTATCGTCGAAATTCAACTTCACTGAAAGAGACCTTGACAGACACGTGGAGTTCAACATCAAAGGGGACGACGTGATAGTGTTTTTGCACATCCAGAAGACCGGGGGGACGACTTTCGGGAGGCACTTGGTGAGGAATATTCGCTTGGAGCAGCCGTGCGACTGCAAGCCAGGGCAGAAGAAATGCACGTGCCACCGACCGGGGAAAGAAGAGTCCTGGCTCTTCTCCCGGTTCTCTACAGGCTGGAGCTGCGGACTGCATGCAGACTGGACCGAGCTTACGAACTGTGTCCCTGTCATTATGGATAAGAAGGAGGCCCGGAGGAATAAAAGGTAATGCGTGAGAGTCTCTTACAGAAATGCACCCAGTCCCCACAACCCTGGGGGATGCAAAACAATAATGCCCAATTAAACCATGTGACCATAAAACCCTTAATGAATTCAAAATGTAAGTTTTGCCTTTAAGGAAAATGCACTGCCTCTCTTGAGTGGAGAAGTAAGCGGGGATGGAATGGGCACAGGATGGGATGGGTAGGTCTACTCATTGCTATTTCCCTGGAGGGCTTATACAGTTGTCACATTAGGTACAGTATAGTGTACATGAACTTTTTAGGCATCCCCTGTAAGAGGTGAGACTGGAGATAGCTTCTGTAGCTCACTGTAACAACATTCATATACTGTTTTTAAACCTCTAAAATATAAATCTCCAGTTAACAGTTAATTGTGCTTAACACCTATCCAAATAACTACTAATATAACTACTAATATAATTCAGATAAATCTCCAGTGATACAACCTCCTGAAAATGAACAGAGAATTCTATAAAAGCCACATACTCTGAATCATTCTTTGCCCAACTTTTATCCTTGAGGTGTTGATGAAGTTGTAAAAAGCTCATGCTCGAGTGCAACTCCTACATCAGGAGCTACTCACAATTCTCTGTGCAACCTTGGCCTTTATGTCTTGCGTTGATGAGTCCCTCTGAGGTGTTTTTTTTTCTTTGTTGTTGTTGTTGGCACGCAAAAGCAGTGCGCCACTCCCGTACCACATGAAGTCTCCTCATTTGAAGCCATCTTTTCTTCATGACTGAGTTCAAATTTTTCCAGGATGTTTGTTTGTTTGTTTGGTTCTGTG